TGTGTGTGTGTGTGTGTGTGTGTGTGTTTATATATATATAATCCATCTAAACTTTGATTCTTTGGAGAAGTATGAAAAAAAGTTGGTGCTCATAAAGGTGTTTTACAAAGGCACGTAACCACAGAATGTGAGAAATGCCTGGCCCTCTCATTCACTAGACATCAAGAATCTAGATCAGTGGTTCTCAGCCTTCCTAATGCTGCAATGTATTTTCATTGCTAAAAGGGGGTCACAACCCACAGGTTGAGAACCACCGAAGAAGGTAATTGTTTGCTCTATTAGACCTCTGGGGTAGGAGCAAAGGACGTAACTTATGTCCCAGCTTTCAGACTTAACTAGACAAGCGAGAGCAAAGAGAAAAGTGTTTAGATATAGTCAAAGGAAGAGTACTACAATTCAAGAAATAGTACAAAAGTACAGGTCTTGCCTTGGAAGACTTCCTGTGAAGCATGGTCACGTTTTTTTGCCGTTAATCTGGGTACTAGTTTATTTCTTGAAGACTATTGAATGTTCACCGTGAAAGGTGAAATGTTTGAAAACAAGCTCAGGGAGAGTAGGGTGCCAATGTCAATCAGTCATTTTTTGTTGGAACTTGGTCTGCTGTGTCCCCTCACAGGACTTGAGATCATAACCTGTGCTTTCCTATCTGTAAATCAGAACTGGCAATTAGTGTTCTAGTAGTTGGGTAAGTTTGTTTCTCTTATCCATTTGGCTTTCCTTTACCTCCAGTTTTTCAGAGATATTTAACTTACCAGGAGCACCACCTAGTGTTCAATAAACCAGAGAGTAAATCTTTTGGTAGCTTCAGTAAACCAAAGTGAACAAACAGCAGCTTGTTTCTGAACTACAGTGTACAGTATAGGCAAGCTGGGGCAATTTTAATAAGATGGCTCCAGAGTGACTTGAGATCCGAAAGTCTTTTACTTTTCATTTCAAAAGATACTTTAGAATGAAGTATCTAATCATGTAATTTCTAACATTTTAATGGAATATAGGAAGAATTAAAGCCAGAGCTAATCTCCACATTCTATCTTTTTCTGATAATTTCATCTCCCTACTCCATTTAATTTTTAATTGTCGTATTAAAGTTTCACTTCACTTGGTGGATATGCTGATAAGTCAACAAATTGTTAAAAAAGGCAACAGTAGCCTTAAGGACAAAAAAAAAAAATCAAGATAAAGAATAAAAGGCAGGCATTGGCTCAGGATTATTAAGTACCAGGATTAAGCAGCCATAAAAAGAACTAAAATAAACATGGCACAGTAGGGTCCCAGCTAGATTTTTGCAGGAATAGATGTCATCTGTTTCATTCTGACACACTATTTAAAAATCCTGTTAAGCTTTGAAAAACAATTTTTGGTCATAGTATTTTTCCCATCTATCTTAGAACTTCCAGTTAGGATATCCAGTTATAGTCTACGAAGCAAAATGTTGAGGTAATCGTTTTCTAGGTAATGTGTAACTCTGACTTCCAAGAGCACCAAGCTTTTATAGAAACAGAACCTGTACCTCATCTCACTATAAAGGGGAATAGCATGTAAAGGCTTGTACCAGAATTATGAGTTGTTCTTAAGGTAAGTTTGCTTTGAAACAAAATGGAAGGCTCGGCGCCTGTGGCTCAAGCCGCTAAGGCACCAGCTACGTACACCAGAGCTGGCGGGTTCGAATCCAGCCCGGACCCGCCAAACAACAATGACGGCTGCAACCAAAAAGTAGCCAGGCGTTGTGGTGGGTGCCTGTAGTCCCAGCTACTTGGGAGGCAGAGGCAGGAGAATCGCTTGAGCCCAGGAGTTGGAGATTGCTGTGAGCTGTGATGCCATGGCACTCTACCCAGGGGGATAGCTTTAGGCTCTGTCTCAAAAAAAAAAAAAAAGAAAATAACAACAAACCATTTGACAGACTATAAATGGCTCCAAGTTGGGGAAAGTAAGAATTCCTGGGGTGCAAATTTTCTCAAAAAGTTTTTAACACAGATGAAGTAAAAGACTTTAATTTCAAATTAATTTCCATTTACTTGCTAACAGGTATTTTTCATCATCCTTTTTTATTTTTTTTGAGACAAGCGTCTCAAGCTGTCTCCCTGGGTAGAGTGCCATGGCCTCACAGCAACCTCCAACTCCTGGGCTCAAGTGAGTCTCCTGCCTCCGCCTCCCAAGTAGCTGTGACCACAGGCACCTGCCACAATGCCTATTTTTTGGTTGCAGCCGTCATTGTTTGGTGGGCCCGGGCTGGATTCGAACCCGCCACCTTAGGTGTATGTGGCTGGTGCCTTAGCCACTTGAGCCACAGGCACCGAGCCTCATCATCCCACTTGACTTGAACATGACTCCTGACTCAACTGCCTAAATGTTTCTCAGACCCTTCCTCTTCCTCCCATCTATGCTGCCCCAGGAAGAACCCATCAGAAACATTTCTCAACAGGTCCTTGGCTGGCTTAAAAGCCTTCGCCAAGCTCTCTCTGCCTGAATCAACGGATGCTTACAAGCAGGCACGGCACAAACTGGACAGGAAATGACAATAGATCTGGTCCCTCTCAAAATTCTACAACTTAGATGAGAAAGTCTTATCTACAGTATTTCCCCTTTTGCCATTTTGCCCCTCGTTTTCTATTCATTTGGAACATTTTGTAGTTTCCCCAGGAGAACACACTGGTCTACTTCCATGCCTCTGTTCCTTTTCTTAACGCTAACGACTCACCCTAGATTCAGTTGGGATACTGTCTCCTTCTAATTTCCCCAGCACCCAGCAGAAACCTTTCTCATAGAACTTACCAAACCACACCAACACTTTATCTGCTTCTATTGCTTTCCCTAACTAGGCTTTAAAGCTCCTTGAGGATATGGACCATCTTTGTTATGTCATAGCCCCAGAACTCTGTGGTTTGGGCTCTAAGTAAGTTATTTAGTTGCCCACAATTTGTTGAACTGGAGAAAACGCTCCTCTAGGGAAATGTAACTGCATACATATTCAACATAATACACACATTTTAATAGCCATTTATCTATAAATATTTATTAAATACAATTTTTAAATTTCATATTTAAGAAATATCAAAACTTGTAAACATTCAACTGGGCTAAAATGCTGAGGATGGTGAACAACTGCAGCTCTCACACACTGCTGTTAGGGTGGTAACTGGCGGTATTTACTAAACCTAAACACACATATTCTGTAACACAACAATTAGGTACATACCCAACAGAAATGAGTAAGAATGTTCTTAGCATTATTAATGGCCCCAATTTGGAAATAATTCACATGTCCATTAACAATAGAATGGATAAAAAATTCTGTACACAGCAATGAAAATGAATCTCTGACACACAGAGCCACAAGGACACTACTTTGTGAAGTTCAAAAACAGGCTAAACTAATCTGTGGTGTTAAACAGAGGTGAGAATAGCAGAGCTTTGGGGTGGTGAGGGTGGCAGATACTAACTGGGAGAGGCACCAATAGAAAGCCTTCTGTGGCAATGGACGTGTTTTCTAACTTGATCTGGGCAGTGCACAGGTGCACACTAGGTGAAACTTTGACCAGCTGTATATTTAAAATCTACATGTATACTGCAACAACAACAACAACAAACTTGTGAACTAAGGTCTTGGGACTATGCCAACATACTGGAGGTACAACCATGAGACAAAAAGTAAACTGATAAAACTATTTTTGTCCCTTCCCTGTAACACGAAAGAGAACACTTTAAAAATGAAATCTACTTTTTCAAGTGCACAAAGGGTATTTCTTTTATTATAATGGATTTCTGCTTTGGCTTAAGTTTCATAATACTGTTTCTAGATAATTTCCCACTGTTACCTTAGGCAACTTTGTTAGGTTACATATATCAGTTACTTAGGCACAGAGTTTTTAACCAGTCACTTTGCCAAATTTTGAGAAAATAGTTAAACTCAATATAAAATCTGATACACAGAATTATAGTGGCTATTTGTTGCTAGCAATATTCGAAAAGAAATTTACTTATTTTACTCTATTCCTTATCTAACCTAAAATCTGCTGTCACTGTGTAGTAAAGACAGAGCACAGAAATAAAGTTCTATTTTCTGTTAAGATTCTTGGAGGGGGGGACTCAGAAAAACAAAAACTTTGTGTGCCCTAAAACAACTCTCATACTTTGTACTCTAGTGTTTTTGGCCAGTATGTCTGACACTATGAAGATTCAGTCCAGAGAATGAGTATTAATATTAAAAAATAAATAAATAAATACCTGACAGGATTCCTCATGAGTATTTTTAGGAAAGTATACAAATAAAAAGATTAACAGATTTAAAAGTCCCTAAAAATTACACATGTCTACAGGTAGAACAAACTCTGGGCTACAGTATACATAAGGCAAGAGTTGAATGTAGCACTTCGTGATATAAAACATTGTTAAAGAACACTCTGTATTGGCTGTATGAACTAAATTATAACCGACAAATCTTAGCATTAACCCAAAACTGCCAAATGGCTGACGTAGCACATTAGTGAGGTAATACAGGTTGGATGCAGAGACTCATTCATTTTTTAAAGACATTTTCAGCTTTTGACTTTGATCTTATCACCAGGCAAAGTTCAAGGCACCAGTCCAAATGCTCATTAATTTGAGACTCCAAAACTTCTTTCCCACAAACCGGGCAATTAACCATCTTGCTCTGACTGCATGAACTACCTGAATTCTGACTTGGGGTCACAGGACGTGAACTGCACTTTGCATCGTTACCATCGCTTTGTATTTGCTCTTTCTTAATAAAAAAATTGTCAAAAACAGTCTTGTCTTCTAGCCTGGGTCGTTTATTCAGGACTTTATCTTCAGACCCACTCACTTCCTGGGATGCAGTCATGGACGTTGATTCTGCTGCTTTTAAAGAATTTCTTAGTGATATCTTAGAAGATGTCACCCTTCTCTGAGGACCAGAAGAGACTGAGTTTTTAGCGGCGTCACTAACTGTTAGACTTGTTACTGGAGAAGATCCATTCACACTTCTGAGAGCCTTCTGGTTGGCAACTGATATTCTAGGAAAATAGTTGCTTAAAACATTTTGGTGACTGGTGCTAAGAACAGGGGAGGCCAGATGAGAAGTTTTTTTACTTGAACCATTCTGTTCAAATTTTACCTCATTTTTAGAATTAAGTCTTAAAGCATCCGCTGAAAGTTCTTGACTTAAAAGATCTTGGGTTTTATTAAGGGTATGTAAGCCACTAATTTTCTCGGATGGTAAACTGCTTGTCTCTCCTAGAACGTATCCTTTCCCGCTAAAAGGGATTAACAGCTGTGCCTGTGCCTCACCTCTATGGGGTTTATCTGCAAAAGAAGCAAATAAGATTTTTCCTCAACTCAAAATACAGTAATAAACATCAAGTTAATGGGTAGTTTTCTCAAAATGAAAAAATAATTTTTTATTCTAACTTAGATCCATGCAATAAGTACCTATTATTGGGAGATGTACAATTTTTAGAAGTCAGAGTCATTGAGAGAACATAAAAGATAAAAACAATTCTCTTATATATAGATAAATATATCCTATCATACCAAAGACCAATAACAATGCAACATTTACCTTGGTAACTGGTCTCCTCTACGTGTAATTCCAGGAGAGAAAAGTCTGCTGCCTCACTGTCAGCATCCTTCTTACTCACCACTCACCTCAGAGAAATCTTCCATAGCTCTTATACTGCTGAACATTTCAGATCTGGGAAATATATCCTACATTTTTGGGTCCCATCACATCAAGTCAAAAAATTCCCAAGGGAAGAAGTATCAACTTCAATAAATTGGTGACCACCTCAAAGGCAGAAACTGAACTTCATAGGAAAGGGATAAATCTTGAAGATGAAATACTGGCAAATATATGTCATATCCTTTGCCCATTCTTTTCCCAATGAATGTACACACATCAATAGCAGAAGTCACTTGGACAGAATCCAACTGATAGGAAGGGGTGTACTTAGGACTAACATTCCGGTCATTGTTATTTGGAATACTGTTTTTATTTTGAAAAAAAACTTCTTGCCTTCTGTTTCCTAATAACTCAGTGAGTCAAGACAGAGAAAAGCACTTTACCTCAAATATTATCAGTGGAAACTATTACTACTTTTATCCACTTCCACACAGAGCAAAGTATATTTGCCTATTATCATTCCATGGACAATGAGAATTTTTCTCAAGTCTACAACTGAAAGGTTCCACACTAGAAACAACCCATTACGTTATCTTAATATTAGTTCTCTAAAGCAGTGGCCCCCAACCTTTTTGGCACCAGGGACCAGTCTCAGATAAGACAATTTTCCAGATGGACTAGGGAGTGGGAGTGAGATCTGACAGGAGGTGGAGCTCAGGCAGTGATGCCAGCCATGGGGAGCAGCTCTACACAGGAAGCTTTGTTCACTCTCCCACCACTCACCTCCCGCTGGGTGACCCGCTTCCTAACAGGCCACTGGTACCACGCTACAGCCTAAAAGATAGTACTGTCCGGAGATGGTAGCTATGGTCATGGAGAAGTTGGAAGAATAAACACAAAAGTACCTTTGTTCTCTACTGCTGGTAAGGGCTGCTTTCCTAGTTTTGTCTTTCCTTTGCCTTTTTTTGAGTAGTTCTCTGGTTCTTTGATTTTTATGTAAGTGCCTCCACAGGTTTTCTGGTGCTCAGCCCACCAATAGTCATGAACAGAGGGTGCCCTGTTGGTAGCCCGTTTGATGTAGCCATAATACGGCTGTTTGTACTGACATGGCCCATTGCAGCGCCACCAATGTCGCCGATACTCATCCACCTCGTCATGAAAAGTATGGTACACCTGGATTGATAGAGAATTGTTAGCATTCAGTAAGCAAGTTAATTTGAAGCAATCTTTCAAAAAATTCTTAAAACTTTCCATTTCCCAGAGCCTTCTGAAAAGATCTCTTTTAGGAAAGATAGCAATTATATTTCTGTTCAAAAGTTCATTTTAATGGAAAATAACAGGAGTTAATTTAATATTTCCTAAACTAGGTAAAGAAGCATATGAAAGTAGAAGGCAAAAACTTAAAAAACCCAAAAAATCCTCCACAAAAGCTCAAAGTTTCAAAAAACAGATTTTAGAATTATCAAAAATTAGGATAAAGATTTTCTGTAACACTGAAATAAGAATCATTCCCTGGGCTAAGCTGAAATTTCCCCTGTAAGGAACAACATCAAAGGGTTCTGAAGGACTGAACTATAACACAAGCATCTTACCCAGTGGAGCTCTAAGCTTGCTCTCTGCAGCTTTGAAGCTCCTTGCTCCTGTCTCTGTAATAAGGCTTAGGGAGTAACATGTTATCTGTTTTTAAGTGTTTTTCACTCATATCAGAACGAAAAGTTCTCCAGGATTCAAATGTTTTCATTTTTTTGTGCCTAGTAGCTAAAATAGTGCTTGGCAGAGGGAAGCTATTCAGGGAGTATTTGCAGATGGAGTGGATGAAAAGCATTATTCACAAATAAAATTCTCTGTAAATGTACTTTTCAATCCTTAAGCAGGGTGCTTACCCCCTACCCCCACCCTCTAGATAAACCTAAGAACCTAAGCAGAAAATAGTTAAGGGAAAAGCTCTGACTGAGAAGATGCTGAGTTCTCCCTGCACAGTGGCCTTACGGACCACAGATCACCACAGCCGGGCGTTGTGGTCTTACAGACCACAGATCACCACAGCCGGGCGTTGTGGCCTTACGGACCACAGATCACCACAGCCGGGCATTGTGGCCTTACGGACCACAGATCACCATAGCCAGGCATTGTGGCGGGCGCCTGTAGTCCCATCTTGTTGGGAGGCTGAGGCAAGAGAATCCCTTAAGCCCAAGACTTTGAGGTTGCTGTGAGCTGTGACGCCACAGCACTCTACCCAAGGCAACAGCTTGACACTCAAAAAAAAGGTGGCACCTCTGGCTCAGTGAGTAGGGGGCCAGCCCCATATACCTAGGGTGGCGGGTTCAAACCCGGCCCCAGCCAAATTGCAATAAAAAAATAGCCGAGCCTTGTAGCGAGCACCTGTAGTCTCAGCTACTTGGGAGGCTGAGGCAAGAGAATCGCCTAAGCCCAAGAGCTGGAGGTTGCTATGAGCGGTGACACCAAGGCTCTGCTGAGGGTGACAAAGTAAGACTCTGTCTCCTAAAAAAAAAAAGCTGCTACTCCTAAATGACTATGTACACCTTTTGCTTCTGCTGTCTCTGAGGAACATTAGCATTTATGTAAGAATAAGGAATATCTGTGTATGACTAAAAAAAAGAAAACAAAACCATTTAACTTTCTACCAAATTCCCCCAGTGGAAAAGAACACTAGTAGTTTTAGACTCTCTCTCCATCACAAGCAAACATCTTCTCAAACTTGGTAAGCATGTACAGACTACACTGTATCAGATGCAGAAAGGATGGAGGGACAAAGGTTTTGGGGCAGAGGAGTATATAAAACCCTGTCCTCTTTTTTACATTCAGAACACTTCACTTTATTCATTAGCATAGCATAAACTCCCTTTGAAAAACACCTGGTAATTGTCTTAGGCTAAATAATAATAATTCATTAGCAAAAAAGACAGGGAATGAGACCTATTTTGTGTCCAGCCTGGGAATGTGGCTTTTAACAATGTAGTCACTAAAATAAAATTGTTCTACAATGTGAAAATAGATACCCTGTGGAGTTTGTTGTAACAGGATGTAACTTATAAAAGCAAGGGGTGTTCACTCTATGCAACCTCATCTAAAAAAAACACACAGACATCCAAGATAAAAGAAGAGCTCCTCTTCCAAATGAACAATGGGAAATATACAAGGATTCTGCTCAAAGTGTAAATTCTGGTGAAGAAACTAAATGTACTTTATGCTAGCAATTCCATAATTCTCTTATTTGGATTTTATGTCTGATTTGTTAAAAATGCAAAACCAGGCACGTTGGCACGTGCCTGTATCTCAGCTACTCCAGAGGCTGAAGTAGAAAGGTCACTTGAGCCTAGGAATTCAAGTCCAGCCTGGGGAACCTGGTGAGATTACATCTCTAAAAATATAATAATAATAATAATAAATGTAAGCCCCATTACATTTTATTTTCCTGATGCCAAAGTAACTCTGTATCCAATAATTAAATGAGATTTTTAGAAAAGAAAAACTCATAGTTAGAAAAGAATAACACATGTAGGATGAGCACTTTTAAAGGACAGAAATATTCGAAAGTACCAAAGAATGGAGGTGCCTGTGGCTCAAAGGAGTAGGGCACTGGCCCATATGCTGGGGGTGGCAGGTTCAAACCCAGCCCCGGCCAAAAACTGCAAAAAAAAAAAAACAGAACCAAAGAATTTAATCTATGTAGGAATTAAAATTCAATTCAATTCAATTCAGTTATCTGTTAAGACCATGTAAGGACACTACTTTATAGATATATGTGTTACATAGATGGTATAAAGATGAGTAAGAGCCGTCTGTGTTCAAAATATGAAAGCAAAATAAAAAATATAAAAGCTTAAGTATCTGCTGAGATGGTTCAGAGGAAGAAGTCCTCTGAAGGAAGGGAAGACGAAGAGCATTCTGGCACAGGACAGAGGAAGTGGCACACTTTAGGGAAGGAAAGTGTGGAGAGGTAAGGCAACCAAAAGTCCAGTTGAAGAGAAACAGGACACATGCCAGAGAGTTGAAAAAAAGGCACAATAAGGTTATTTGATAAAATGAATACAATGATGATAACAACTAATTTAATTAATGCTCAAATCAGGCTAAAATGTTTTGTATGTGCTTTCTCCTTTAATCCTTCCTCCTCACTAGGATCCAGGAGACAGGTATTGTTGTTAGGCCCATTTGCCATGTTAGTAAAAGGAGCTGTAGAAAAAGTAAGTAGGTGAGAAGATTAATAACCAGTGGAGCCAGGATTTGAACCCAGGCAATCTGTCTCCTCATGCTATTTGAACCCCAGGCTTGGCCACCTCCTACAATACCATGCAGAGATATGAATCAAAGACGACTTCTCAGGAGGGAATTGCATCTGAAATGGCAGCAGGACAAAGGATGGATTGAAGGAGACTACAGTAAGGAAACAAAGTGAAGAGACCACTGTAAGAGTCCAGAAGCTGGAAAGAATTGTGCATAAAATGTTGACCTAGAAATAGAGACCTCAGGGACATCACTGGCTCTGCTGTCCTTTGACTATGTGTTCCAGGCATGCCAATTAATTTTTCTAGGCCTCTTATTTGCTGCTAAAAATCCTCAAAGATTATACTTGTTTCTACCTTGTTCACTATTTTTGATTAAATCTCAGGAGTTACTGATTAAATAATTACTAAGTATCATAGTTGTGTGTGACTCTATATACCGTTATGTTGGCTCCGGCCAGGCGGTTGATGCGATGCATGTGTTTACAAAACTCGGGGCCGTGCCCTTCCCGGTCCTTATCATTATTAGTGACAAATAAATAGGCATGTATCATTTCATGCAAGAGGGTCTGAAACAGAAAATAATCAAATTAATTTGTTATGGCATGTTTAAAAACAAAAATACATTCACTTACTCTACCTGAGGTCTTAAGTTTTTCTGGATCATAAGCTTGTTTCAGAAACTGATAGAAGTCATGAGCTATTTTTCCAGAAAAATTTATGTAAGTACATATTCATAAAACTTTGGATACAGGTTAAGCATCCCAAATACAGAAATCCGAAATGCTCCAAAATCCAAAACTTTCTGAATGTCAAAATGACACCCAAAGAAATGCTCATTGGAGCATTTTAGATTTTGGATTTTCAGATTTGGGATGTTCTACTGGTAAGTGTAGTTAATATATTCCAAAATCTGAAATTTTAAACATTCTGGTTCTAGGCATTTCAAATAAGCGAGACACAACCTGTGTATCTGAAGCTCTATGTAGATTCCAGTTTAAGAATTCTTGTTTTAGGAAGACCCTTTAACTATGAATCAAAAATCCACAAGAAAAAGTCAATAAATGTGACTACATAAAAACTTTAAATTTCAGGCAGCACTGTGGCTCAGTGGGTAGGGCACCAGCCCCATATACTGAGGGTGGCGGATTCGAACCCATCCTAGGCCGAACTGCAACAAAAAAATAGTCAGACATTTGGTGGGCACCTGTAGTCCCAACTACTCAGGAGGCTGAAGCAAGAGAACTGTCTAAGCCCAGGAGCTGGAGGTTCTGTGAGCAGTGACGCCACAGCACTCTACTGAGGGCAATAAACCAGACCCTCCTATAAGTATCCGCCACAAAGCCCAGCTAGTTTTTCTATTTTTAGTAGAGACAGGGCCTTGCTTTGGTCAGGCTGGTCTCAAACTCATCAGCTCAGGCAATTCATCATCAGCTTCCCAGAGTGGTAGGATTATAGGCATGAGACATAGCGCATGGCCAATCATGTAAAATTTTAAAGAAAACAATAAAGCCTACTGCTCATTTCCATACCATGGATGCAGATGTTTATGTGCAAAATTAACAAAAGCATTCAAGGTTGCCAGGATTTTTTGTTCTTAAAAATATACCGTTTTCCCTCCCCTACCCCCTCCCTATATTCTTGGGCTAGAATTAGGCAGATGGGTGGAGGGAGGGTGATTGGAAAGATCACCTCTATGGTCTGACTTACAAGGGTATAAGTGAATCTTTCTACAACTAGAGTATAAATGTCTTAACACAATAACTAAGTAAATGACATAAAGTCTATGTTAACCAGTTTGATGAAAATATTTCAAATTGTATATGAAAACACTACACTGTGCCCCATGTTTGCATTAATGTACACAGCTATCATTTAATAAAAGAAAAAAATATATACTGTTTTAAGTAAAAACCATAAAGATCTTCAATAGCATACCTTTTTCATAATCATCTATTATTTTTTAAAAGTAATTTCCATCAGAGCAAGATTGCCATTAATAAATCTTAGTCTTATAAAATTATCTAGACAGAAAAATGAGGAAATCAAACATTTTAACTCATCATAAAAATATCCCTTTTTATAGCAGGGCATTGTGGCAGGTGCCTATAGTCTCAGCTACTCGGGAGGCTGAGGCAAGAAAATTGCTTAAGCCAGTGGTTCTCACCTTCCCAATGCCGTGAACCTTTAATACAGTCTAAAGGGGTCACGACCCACAGATTGAAAACTGCTGGCTTAAGCCCAGGAGTTTGAGGTTGCTGTGAGCTGTGACGCCACAATACTCTACCCAGGGTGACATAGTGAGACTCTGTCTCAAAAAAAAAGAAAAATTCCTTTTTAAAATATCAACTGTATCTCGGTTTTTTTGTTTGTTTGTTTTTGAGACAGTCTCACTCTGTTCCCCTAGGTTAGAGTACTGTAGTGTCATTGTTCATACCAACCTTAACCTCTAGGGCTCAGATGATCCTCTTGCCTCAGCCTCCTCAGTAGCTGGGATTACAGGTGCCAGCAACCACATCTGGTCACTTTTTCTACTTTTAGTAGAAATTGGGTCTTGCTTTAGCTCAGGCTGGTTTTGAACTCCTGAGGTTCCAGCAATCCACCCTCCTTAGCCTCGCAGATGCTAGGATTAGAGGTGTGAGCCACCTTGCCCAGCCAAATGTACTGCTTAAAAGAACTTTTTTTTTTTTTGGCCTGGGCCAGGTTTGAACCCGCTACTTCTGGTATATGGGGCCTGCGTCCTACTCCTTTGAGCCACAGGCGCCACTCTGGAACTTTTTTAAGTAAATGCCACTCAAGAAAATTCAAACTCAAAAAAGGCCATTCTACATTACAAAAGTTACCCAACATTTTAAAATACAGGAATGTAACAGGAAGTAACTCTTCTCATGGAAGAGCAACAAATTTAGATTCCTGATTTTTGGCTCAATTTAATTAAACATTACATACATCCTGAAAAAGGTACATGGTGCCATACTGAATATTTCTATTTTTATATATCTACCATTTCCCACATTTAGGCTCCTTTCAGGATCTACATGACATGTTCCCAACACACCTGTTTCCCAGGTGTTTCCTACGTGGACAAAAGCAACTATTTCTAGACTAGATATTGCACAGATCTGACCTCACTTTTGTTTGCATTATTCTCATTCCTTCTGCATCTACTAAATCCAACTTATGGTAAGCTGAAGTCTTACTTCTGTATTTTGCCAGCAAGCGTGACGACCACCTCTGGATAATGAAGTGTGTCCTCAGGCTGGTTTGTGCTGCCAGGTCCACTACTTGTCCTGGGAGGACAACAGTATGGCAGCGGAACACAGGAGAATCTAAATTTGTGTGTTTCAACAAGAAGACTCATATCCTAAGTTTTTCTCTGCTTCTAAATATGTAACTTAGTCCAGTTACTTAACCTCTCTGAACCTTAATTTCCTCATTTATAAAAATGAAAATACCTTTGGCTGGGCATGGGGGCTCACGCCTATAATCCTAGCATTCTGGGAGGGCAAAGCTGGAATATCACTTGAGGCCAGGAGTTTGGAGATCAGCCTGAACAACACAGTGAGACCCTTCCTCTATGAAAAATAGAAAAATTAGCTGGGTGTGGTGGCGCGTGCCTGTAGTCTCAGTTACTCCAGAGGCTGAGCAAGAGGATTATTACTTCAGCACAGGTGTCTGAGGTTGCAGTGAGCTACGGTGACACCACTGCACTCCATTAAGGGAGAAAAGAGGGATGCCCTGTCTCAACAAAATTAAAAACAAACACACACACACACACACACACACTGAAAATAAGCAGGACTACTGTAAAAATCAAAAAAAGATAATAAGACCTGTGACTATGAAGCACTATAAAAACACCGGGTATTCCATTATTATGTGCTCCATAATTAAAGTCTGCACTGAGGGCAAAATGAATTTTTTTAAACATACAGGCTACTTCATAGCAGTCTAAATCAATGATACGCATTAATAAACTACTGAGCTAAGAAGAAGGTTTATGCAAAGAATACCTCTACCAGATCCTTTCTTGGTCTCAACTTTAAAAGGGGCTCACTGAGACGGATGGAACACATTCCACCTCTCCCTTCATAGCTGCATATCCCAGCACACCTGGAAAACAACCACCACAAAGTGTTACATTTACCAAATATACACAAAAGGGAAACAGAAATGAAGAGCAAATTCTTATACATGTCTCCAGCAGTTCACACTACAAGAATCCTGCTGGCCAGCAGATGGCTTTCTTGAAAGTATACCTGTTTGGTTAACAGATACTTGCATTTCACTCAGTTAGTTAATGTATAATAGTGGCTTCCCTTACCTTAGCCAGGCTGCAACAACAGCTCAAAGACTATAATCCTATTCTACTATTCTCAGCCTCCTCCCACATATAATCAGTCTGGGGTAGTTAATAAGCAGATTTCCAAAACTATAACGGAAGCTGATATAAAGATTTGTACTTGGCTCGGCGCCTGTAGCTCAACTGGCTAAGGCGCCAGCCACGTACACCTAAGGTGGCGGGTTCGAATCCCCAGCCCGGGCCCGCCAAGCAACAATGACAGCTGCAACCAAAAAATAGCCGGGCGTTGTGGCGGGC